TCCATTCCTGACCTGCATGCAAAACTAGAGGTATCTTGTTCTTGCTTTCCATTGGTAGAGTGTATCTCTTTCCTATAAATACTCAGTGCTTATTTGCTCAGAGTAAAAGACAAGTGTTTCCCCACCAGGCTCTTCTGCAAGTGAGTAATGTTTTGGAATTGTGTGCTCATTCACCATAATCACTTCTTCATAAGTAGAGCCCTACCAAATTCGCGGCCATGAAAAATGCGTCACAGATCATGAAATCTGGTCTTTTGTGTGCTTTTACCCTATACTATACAGATTTCATGGGGGAAACCAGCATTTCTCAAATTGGGGGTCCTGACCCAAAAGGGAGTTGTGGGGGGGGGGGGTCACAAGGTTATTTTAGGGCAGTCGTAGTATTGCCACCCTTACTTCTGCCCTGCCTTCAGAACTGGGTGGCTGGAGAGCGACGGCTGTTAGCCCAGCGTCCAGCTCTGAATACTGCACCCTGCTATCAGCAGCGCAGAAGTAAGGGTGGCAATACCATACCATGTCACCCTTACCTTTGCACTGCTGCTGTTGACATCTCTGCCTTCAGAGCTGGGCTCCTGGCCAGCAGCCGCTGCACTCCAGCTGCCAGCTCTGAAGGCAGTGCCGCCACCAGCAGCAGTGCAGAAGTAAGGGTAGCAGTATCACAACTCCCCTTCCCCTACAATAACCTTGCGACTCCTCCCCCACCCCCTGACTCTTTTATGGGTCAGGACCCCTATAATTACAACACTGTGAAATTTCAGATTTAAATAGCTGAAATAATGAAATTTATTATTTTTAAAATCCTATGACTGTGAAATTGACCAAAATGGACTGTGAATTTGGTAGGACCCTATTCGTAAGTGACCATAAAAATATTGCTATCACCATCTCCTGGTTCATGCTAATAATTATCTTATTTACATTTCAGTTGTGGCAAATGACACTTTTTCATTCTTCTACAAAGCTGCATAAAATTGCAGTAGGTGGTTGTTTTTATACCTTTGCATAGGAAATTTCAAACCCTATAAAAACATAATTTTTTTGAAAAAAAAAAACCTTAAAGTTAAGGAATAGTATTATTACAAATTTATCCGTGTTAATTTTTCAGACTTACACTCTGTATCATTGATCTTGTTCAAAAATTAATCTAGTATACATTTGTTCAGTAGTTTGTGATTTCTGGATGGGGTCACTTCCCTTCCCCTTCTGCATCATACCCCCTGTGTTCAGGACCCACCTCACTCCAAATCTCCCTGAAATTAATTTGAAAATGTTGGTCAATATGACTGCACCTTAACCTAAATTCACTGGTGGCATGATTTGTCATTTTAAAATCATGTTCTCTTTTAAAATATTTCTCCCCTATTGCTGTGAGTACAATCCAACCAATCAGTTTCCCCTGTTTATATAATTACAGAGGTGAAACAGTGCACCTATATAGAAAGTGCTATCAAATAAGCCAAATTAGTTTAAAAACAACTTTATTTTTTTTTTAGCATGGTGTTTTTTGTTTTTTTGCTACGGTGTTTTGTTGGTATTACTAACAAGGGTATAAAGTTTTAAAAAGTAATTCAATCAGCAGTGTGATTTAAGGTTGTAGTGATCCTTTAAAAAGAAAATTGTGGTAATGGAAAAGTGCATTACCTAAGTCATTGATCTTACTTGCAATTCGCTGATTGTTTAAAAATTAATATACTCAGCTTTCTCTGGGGAAATGCTTTTGTCACACCAATAGGTTCGAATAAGTTGGGGAGATAGTGGATAACAATTAGATTCATATGAATTGTGTGTTTTATTCAAGTTCATGTTTGCATTATACCCATTTGAAACATTTAATGGTTAAAATAAAATAGGGGTAAAGTAGTACTTCATATGATACTGTACACTTGAAGTTTTCTTATTTCAGTCCCAACGTTGGTGTTTGGAAACTCACTGCATTTTTATGGTTGAGATAGACTAGCTTATATCTTAATTAAGGGAACATAATTGAAATTAAAAAAAAATGTTTGAAATAAATTCTATACCTATTATTAACACCTCTTACTACTAAAATGACATACCATAAATACCTGATTTACTTGTAACCCTTCATATATTTTGTTTGTATCTTGTCATGTTCTGATCTCTCTGCCAGACTTTGGAGCAGGTGAATGTCTGGTGCTATAGACTGAACAACAGAATGGAGTCATCTGCATATTGTTGGCATCTGAGCCCATAAAGTTTCACTACTTCAACTAGCAGATACTATTGTTTAGATCCCTATAGTATGCCACGGGTAAAGGAACCAATGGCAGAATTGCTATCCTCTGGCTATGTCCTGTGAGGAAGAACTCAATCAGTTTCATAGTGTGTTTTTTGGACCCCTGCCACTTCTCTGAGACAGGATAACCGTATCTATGGTTGACTGGACTGACTGCTGTGGGGAAGTCCAAGAGTATGAGTATAGATCTTTTCCCTTTTTCCATGGAAAGAAAGAGAGCAGCCATCAATACTAATACTGTTCCAGATTCTGGCCTGAAACCTGACTCTGTAGGATCGAGGCTACTGATGTTGGACAAATGTCTGAAGATGGCTCTTTGCTAGCTTCTCAACATATTTATGAAGGCAAAAGGGATTAGTAATACAGTAACTCCTCACTTAACGTTGTAGTTATGTTCCTGAAAAATGCGACTTTAAGCGAAACAATGTTAAACTAATCCAATTTCTCCATAAGAATTAATGTAAATGAGGGAATTAGGTTCCAGGGAAATTTTTTTCACTAGACAAAAGACTACACGCACACGTGCGCGCGCACACACACACACGCAGTATAAGTTTTAAACAAACAATTTAATACTAGTACACAGTGATGATGATTGTGAAGCTTGGTTGAGGTGGAGGAGTCAGAGGGTGGGATATTTCCCTTACTGCTAAATGATGAACTAGCAATTGGCTGAGCCGTCAAGGGTTAACTCTTTCACTCTACAAGGCAATAGGAATGGAATGTGCGCATTTCCCCTTTAAGTACCCTGCCTTGTTAATTAGATCAGTTTGCTGAGACTGCAGCTGCTGCAAGCTTCCTCCGTCCTGAACCCTGGTGTGTCCCCCCCCCCCCGCTCTAGTAGGTGGGGTGCAGGAGCAGGGGGGAGAGGGACACCCTGACAGCCCCCCCTCTTCCTTTCCTGCCCCCTGCACAACAAGCAGGAGTATTGGGGAGAAGCTCCAAGGGAGGTGGCAGGAGCAGCACATGGCAGTGGGGAGAGGGACAGCTGCAATTGCTAGCCTGCTGGGCAGCTGCTGCACAGGGAACTTAGAGGAGTGGGGAGCTGATAGGGGGGGCTGCTGGTGCACACTGGTTCCAAGCCCCCACCAGTTAGCTGCAACAGGCTGCTCTTCCTGCAAGCAGTAGACAAAGCAGGGGGCTGCCAAACAACGTTAGAAGGGAGCATTGCACAACTTTAAATGAGCATGTTCCCTAATTGATCAGCAACGTAACAACGAAATAACATTAACCGGGACGACTTTAAGTGAGGAGGTACTGTAACATGGATTACTTGGTCTTTCACCTTCAAGATCATGTTTAGATGTATTGTTTAACACATTGTATCTAGTATTTAAATAAATGGAATAGTTCAGTAATCAGTCGTTTACTACGCTGGTAATATTTACTTTGTTAGTTTAATTTGATACTAGTAAAGAATTATAACAAAACCTGCACCAACGATGAATGAGGAATAGCTGGTTGAAGCTGAACCCAAGCAAGACAAATTATACTGCTGGATAGAGGAGAGTGCTTTGAAGAGTTTGTAGACCTGCATTTCAGTTCCTTGTCTACTCCTACAAAAACTTTTGAAAAAATAACACTGGAAGCCCTAGCATAGTTAGGCCACTGGCTGCTGACTGTTTCCACCACTGTTATTTATAACCTAGCTGGTAGCAAGTCTAATCTGCATTATGCTGAAACAGGTGTCAGCAGCCATTGGGCTTGCTAAAATAGGGTTGGCGTTAGTGAAAAACTTGTCTAGAACTTCCCTAGCGTAGAGAGGGCCTGAGGCAGTGAAGACCTCACCTCAAAGTGAGAAACACTCTCCGTCTCATAAACATTCCAGTTCTTCTTCCTGTTGGGCAGTACAGACCTTTCAAGATCCAAAAAAGGAGTCATTGTGGTTTTTGTTCCTCCCTGTACCCACCATAGTTTCCCTTGCAAAATAAGGTGCCATCCAACTGGAGGAGAAAGTTTGAGCCCAGATGAATTCTCTTAGATACTTGTGAGAAAGAAAGCAGCACACAACCACCAGAGTGTTATAAAAGGCAGCTGATGTAGTAATAGGGTGGCTGCAGATGCTGCTCTGACAAGATCATTTCTCTGCTCACTGAATGTTCTTTCAAGAATGCGTATAATTTTTTTTATTTTTTTTTATAATGGAGATATCCTATCTCCTAGGACTGGAAGGGACCTTGAAAGGTCATCGAGTCCAGCCCCCTGCCTTCACTAGCAGGACCAAGTACTGATTTTGCCCCAGATCCCTAAGTGGCCCCCTCAAGGATTGAACTGACAACCCTGGGTTTAGCAGGCCAATGCTCAAACCACTGAGCTATCCCTCCCCCCCGTAGGGCTCTTTTGTTCTACTACGTTCTGGGTTATGGATTCTATTTGACTAAACCACCAAGACACACAAGCTTTGTCTGCAGGAGGGAGCCTTATGTTATGCTGCCTGTTGAAAATACATCAGGAGTCTTCTGTATTAGACAAGATGCTTTTTTCCCCCTTCCAAAGCATCTGTTTGTGAGAGAGACTTTTTTGAAATGGGCTCTGCCACACCTTCCTGTATACAATTTTGTTGAGGCTGGTGCATTTAATAAACAGTGTAAAACTGATTTTACAGCATTCTATTCAAGATTAAGACCCAAAATAGAGCCCTGATAATACAGTTCTGGAGAACTCAAGTATTAATAGAAAGTAAAGGACTCTTTATATGTATTATTAAAGTTTACACAAACTGACTTTTTTGTTTTGTTTCCAGCTGCTGTTGGCTTTCTGACAGTTTCCAGTGTCATCACCATGTCAGCCCCTTTCTTCCTGGGGAAAGTTATCGATGTAATTTATACAAATCCCACTGGAGATTTCACCGACAGCCTGACCAGCCTCTGTGCCTTGCTAAGTGGAATTTTTGTGTGTGGTGCTGCTGCTAATGCTATTCGTGTCTACCTCATGCAGACTGCAGGTAAAAACAAAATGGGGTCAGGAGACTGTCTCCCTTTTTTGCCATAGAAACAAAGTATTGTATAATGGTCTGAAAGAAGTCCCTGAAGCTAGCTGAGACCTTCTCTGACATAACTGTCAGTGTACTTTATCACATAGGATGCGTGTGTTTTATCCCTTCCAAGAGAGTTGTTAATTCATTTTTATTTGATGTTGAGAGAGATCTTAAAACTCATTTTGTATAGATTCCAACATTTTATAACATTTTCGCATGACTTCTGTGTTGCAGAACCTTGCATGAAGTCAGTAACTTGTGTGTGGGGGGGTATTTCTGTATGTAAAGTTTTGGTATGTCATGCTTTGCTGGAAATAGTCATCCTTTTTGCTCCTCATAGGACAAAGAATTGTGAAACGACTGAGAGCAACTATGTTCTCTTCTATTCTGAAGCAAGAAGTTGGGTTTTTTGACAAAACCAGCACAGGAGAACTGATTAATCGCTTGTCTTCAGACACAGCACTGTTGGGCCGTTCCGTGACTGAAAACCTTTCTGATGGACTAAGAGCAGGAGCTCAAGCATCAGTTGGGGTTGGAATGATGGTATGTCTGTCATCTTCTGCCTCTCCCTCACTGCTCACAGCAGGTTCAAGGATGTATAACTTGCTATCCAGTAATGGCTATGTGTGTGAAGGTTCTGTAGTCTGCTATAAAAGCTGTTGTGCTTTGTAGAGGCAGACTTATTCCCCTGTTTTCTTAATATCTACAATCCCCTTTACACTTATAAAGTTTGCGGACGATACCAAGCTGGGAGAGGTTGCAAGTGCTTTGGAGGATAGGATTATAATTCAAAATGATCTGGACAAACTGGTTAAATGGTCTGAAGTAAATAGGATGAAATTCAATAAGGACAAATGCAAAGTACTCCACTGAGGAAGGAACAATCAGTTGCACACATTCAAAATAGGAAATGGCTGCCTAGGAAGGAGTACTGCGGAAAGTGGTCTGGGGGTCATAGTGGACCACAAGCTAAGTATGAGTCAACAGTGTAACGCTGTTGCAAAAAAAAGCAAACATCATTCTGGGATGTATTAGCAGGTATGTTGTAAGCAAGACACGAGACGTAATTCTTTCACTCTTCTCCGCTCTGATTAGGCCTCAACTGGAGTATTGTGTCCAGTTCTGGGTGCCACGTTTCAGGAAGGATGTGGACAAATTGGAGAGAGCAGAGAAGAGCAACAAAAATGATTAAAGGTCTAGAAAACATGACCTCTGATGGAAGATTGAAAAAATTGGGTTTGTTTAGTCTGGAAAAGAGAAGACTGAGAGGGGACATAATAGTTTTCAAATATGTAAAAGGTTGTTACAAGGAGGAGGAAGAAAATTGTTTTCTTAACCTCTGAGGATAGGACAAGAAGCAATGGGCTTAAATTGCAGCAAGGGTGGTTTAGGTTGAATGTTAGGAAAAACTTCCTAACTGTCTGGGTAGTTAAGCACTGGAATAAATTGCCTAGGGAGGTTGTGGAATCTCCATCATTGGAGATTTTTAAGAGCAGGTTAGACAAACACCTGTCAGGAATGGTCTAGATAGTTAGCCCTGCCATGAGGGCAGGGGACTGGACTAGATGACCTCTCAAGGTCCCTTCCAGTTCTATGATTCTATGTACTCCATTGTAATAAACTGTGCCTGCAGCCAGTTACGAGTGTGCTACAAAGTGGATACTCACTTCTGTATGACAAGCCATGATAAGAGAGATGGGGGAGGAACTCTCATTGTGTTCTGTCCTTTTCTTTTTTGAAGGATCGAAAGTGAACTGTGCGCCACATTTCTTAGGTTTCCCCATTCATATATCACCCAGAATATAGCTGTCAAGTGGCGTGCGCCTGCATCCATTGAAATTGTAAATGGAAGTTTTGTCATTGACTTTAATAGGAGCAGGAGAGGGCACAAGGGGCCTGATCTAAAACTGGGTGAAGTCATGTGCATTGGGCCAAAGCCTTGTTGAGCAGGGTCAGCCTTAAATATCAAATTACTGATAAGAATTTTGCAATGGATAATAGACTGAGGCAATGGCTTGCGTAGGTAGAATATCAGTAAAGGGTTTCAGTGTTACTGATGCACAGCAAGCAAAACACTTTCTGGTGGTGGGTCAGTTTCCTAATTTTTAGTACATAAAAAACTGACACTTCCCTCTCCTCCCCCTGTTGTTTATCTAGACTGAACTTTGTTACGCTACCTTATCTCAGAGAATTGGCAACTTGGTGGCAATCCTTTTAAATGATAACCATGGTGGTTTTCTGGTGTCTGTTCAGGAAAGACAGACAGGAAAAGTCTCTTAATAAAAAGAGAGGCTTTCTAGTTTGGCAGTGCCAGCAAAAGTTGGCAAGAGTTTCTACTCTGTAAAGATTTAAAGCATTATTTAAGTCTTAAATTTTTTATCTCTGATAAGATATATGGCTTTCAGTCCTCTGTTAAAGTAAATGTCATGGGCCTGCCCTTATCCAACAATATAGATTGTCTAAGAATAATTTCTCATTAATTTCCATGAGGAGTTCTGCTTAAAAATTGCTGGCATGGTATGGTCCTACTAGGTTAACAGGAAAAAAAAATTACTTGGGGTGGAAAGGCTATTGTAAAAGTGCCTTACAGTCTATCATATTAGTAATACATCTGTAGGATCATTTTTTAAATGTATTTGCAAAATTTTTGTCTAGAACACCAGAAGGAAAACAACCAAATGAAATAACATGCAATAATAAAATTAACACTTTTAAAAAAGCCTTCTTACAGTATTCGGCTACTTTTGCATAGATGCTTTGATGCAGCTTGTTAATTGTAGGTGATGACCTTATAGGACAATTAACTAAATCCATTCTTCTGACACACAAGAAAAGTAAATAGGAATTACCTTTGCTGGTACTGCTAGTTGGCCAGAGGGTAAAGAATATTGGTGATCTCTTCCATTCCTCAACCCCACTAAAATACTATGCAATATATCTGTTCTCTACATGCCCTTAAGCCAAACTTTCTCTTCAATATTTCATTGTTGATGGTGATACTTTGCATTTCTATAACACCTTCTGTTAAAAGATATGAAACCTTTTACAAATATTAAAAAATTAAGCTTTCTAACACACTCGAAAGGGAGCTAAATAGCATTGTCATTTTACAGACCAGTTAAGTGACTTGGCCAAGCCCATACAGCAAAGAAGTGGCAGAGTCAGAAATTGAATCAGAAATTGCAGTCCCTTGTTCTAACCAGTAGCTAACATTTCCCAAATACAATAGAGAAATGGGCATTTTGTCTGTAAGAAATAGAAGACAAAGGAAAGAAATTGTGACCACACTAATTTTACAAACATCTGTTGAAAGCAACCACACTGCATTAAGTCTATGTACTAGTGTATTTTAGCAAGACTTCTTTATTTGTATGCCAAAATATTAACCCCTGGACACTTACTTCTTCTAGTTTTTTGTTTCTCCAAAACTTGCTGCATTTGTTCTGAGTGTTGTGCCCCCTCTGGCTATCATAGCTGTGATTTATGGAAGATATCTGCGAAAACTTACTAGAATGACCCAGGATTCCCTTGCAGAAGCAACACAGGTAATCTTGTTAAGAAACTTAAGAGAGATCATGTTAGATACAATTAAGTTAAATAAATATTGTAGAGTTGCCGAGGTGCTGAGGATAAGAATACCTTTCATTGCCCTGAGTCAGACCTGTATCTCAGTACTAACATTCATTTTTTTTAAAAAAGCTTTATCTACAATGTAGCATGGAGTATCTAAGATCATTCAAGATTTAGGAATTCTGCTGAGAAAAGGTTAAGGGAATTGGGTGCTTTCTCAGTATGAGGGGGAGAAATGTTGACGTATGAAATCTTATATGGTTTGGGACCTGGTTGTGTGTGGGACTACCTCTCTCCTTGGGCCATAGTATTGCGTTTGAGATTACTCGAGTTGCTCCAGCTGAGCTTCTTAGTATAAGAGGTAGCAGCCAGCAAGTCATTCTTTGTGAGTGGTCCTTGATGTTGGAACTGACCCCATGCTCCCCCTTGGATCCACTTGATCCCAGATTTGTTAACCTTAAGGGCATGCTGCAAAGTTAATCTTTTCTCATAGACAGTTGGGGAGGGGGTTAAGATGCAAGTTGGAGGGACCTCATTATTAAAGGGACATCTTGTGGAAGGGGTTTTATTCTGTGTGCTGGGGCATATTTATATACTGTAAAATAAAACTACTTAGAAGATGGTAGTGATCTCCTTTAATAGCAATGCTGGGGACAAGATCTAGCTGAAATATCCACAGGCTTCATCTGTGTAAGCCCTGGAATGTCATAGTTATAGACTCCTTGGCAAATTGACCTGTGCAGAAGAAAGATTAGCCTTTTGTTCATCTCTCCCATCCAAAAGAAGCTGATCTTTTTGAAAACAGGTTGGAGATTTCCTACTAATGAGGACTTTGCCTCCTATGCTTTGCAGAGGTTGAAGAGGAGGTAAAATTGTACTGTTTTCCAGTGCTTTTTTTCTTTTAGATATGTTGCTCCCAAATCCTGTCTTACCTCTAATGCCGGAGCATAAGATCATGTTGGTGTCCATTAGTAAGCAGTCTGATTGCATTTGGATACTTCTAGAACTAACATTTTTGTTCATTTGAAGTGAAATTTACCCACTTAATTGGAATTAAGACTACTTGGGCTAAATTCATACCTAAAGCAACTCCATTGAAATGAATGGCGTTATGCAAGCAACGAATTCAGCCTTTTCTATTTAGCATAGTATATATTAGAGTATTTGTTTTGTTTTTTTTCTTCGTCATAAGAACATAAGAACTGCAATACTGGGTCAGACCATGGTCCATCTTGCCCAGTTTTCTATCTCCAGCAGTGGCCCATATCATAGTTGCAAGGGGAGCGTACAGAACAGGGTGATTATGGAGTGATCCATGCTTGTCTTTTGCTTCCGGTAGTCAGAGGTTTAGGGTTACCCCAAGCATGGGGTTGCATTCCTGACTATCTTGGCTAATGGCCATTGATGGCCCTATCCTCCATGAATGTATCCATTTCTTTTTTGAATCCAGTTATACTTTTGGTCATCACAACGTTCCGTGGCAATGAGTTCCACAGGTTGGTTGTGCATCGTATGGAAAAAGTGTTTCCTCTTGTTTGTATTCAATCTGTTGCCTGATAATTTAATTGGGCGAGCCCTGTTTTTTGTATTATGTGAAAGGGTAAATGTCACTTCTCTATTAATTTATTTCCACACCATTCATGATTTATAGACCTCTTTCATAACCCCCTTTGTCCTCTCTTCTAAGCTGAACAGTCCTAATCTGTTTAGTCTTTCCTTGTATGGAAGCCATTCCATACCCATGACCATCTTTCTTGCCCTTCTCTGAACCTCTTCCTGTTCCACTATATCCTTTTTCAGGTGGGGCAACCAGAACTGGACGTTGCGTGGAAGTTTTCAGAGAAATATCCATGGTGACTCAAGATCTTTCTTGGGTGGTAATAGCTAATTTAGACTCCATCATTCTGTGTGTATGTGGAATTATTTTTTCCAGTTCGCATTGGATTGCACTTATCAATGTTGAATTTCATCTTCCATTTTGATGATCAGTCCCCAGTTTTGTGAGATCCTTTATAATTCCTTGCAGTCTACTTTGAACTTAATTATCTTGAGTAATTTTGTGTTGTCTGCAAACTTTTCACATCTTCTCCGTATCCTTAATGAATATATTGAACAGCACAGGTCCCAGTACGGATCATTGCGGGACCCTATTGTTCACTTCTTCCCATTGTGAAAACTGACCATTTATTCCTATACTTTGTTTCTTATCCTTTAATCAGTTACTGATCTATGAGATGACCTTCTCTCTTATCCTATGGCTACTTAGTTTCCTTATGAGCCTGTGGAGCCTATGAGCTTGTCAATCTACTGGATCACACCCTTATCCACATGCTTGTTGACAGCTCAAATAATTCTTAATAGATTGGTGAGGCATGACTTCCCTCTAGAAGAGCCCTGTTGACTCTTCCCCAACAAACTGTGTTTATCTGTGTGTCTGGTTCTGTTCGTTAGTACAGTTTCTACCAATTTGCCTGGTACTGAAGGCTCTTTGGTCTATAATTGCCAGGATCACGTCTGGAGCCTTTTTGAAAAATTGACATTACAGTTGACACATCAATTTGGGACAGTACTTCAGATTTGTCATCCAAAAAGAATAGTACTGATGTGGGGTCCCCTCCCCCCCCACATATCTCTGCAGTAAAGACTGATGCAAAGAATTCATTTAGCTTTTCTGCCATGGTTGTCTTCCTGGAATGCTCTTTTAACATCTTTGTCATATAGTGGCTCTGCTGCCTTGTTAGCAGGCTTTCTGCTTCTGATACACTTCCAAAAACTAATAGTAATTTTTTTTTTTTTACCTTTAGCAAGTTGCTTCTCAAATTCTTTTTTGGTCTGCCTTATACTTTTACTTGCCAGAGTTTGTGCTCCTTATTTTCCTCATTAGGATTTGACTTCCAAATTTTAAAGGATGTCTTTTTACCCCTAATGGCCTCCCTTATGCTGTGGTTTAGCCATGGTGGCATTCTTTTGCCGTCTTATTTTTATTTGGGGTATACATTTAGTCTGAACCTCTATTAAATGGTGTGTTTTTAAATAGTCTCCATGCTGCTTGTAAACATTTTACTCTTATGACAGGTCCTTTTTAATTGTTCCTTTTATCCTCATTCTTGTCACAATTACAAATAATGATAAATAATCCTTTTTAATGTTCACTCCTTTCTTGGGTGGCTTGTTTTCTCTAAATTAAGATGTTTAAACTCCTTTTTCTAATCACTTGGCACAATCCTCTCATACTAATACTCAAGCTAAACCAGTTTTGAAACTCTTTTTTCAAACTACCTTGACATAGTTACTGTTTCCAGCTTAATAGAATTAAAAAACAGAAGTGAGAGGAGGGTGAAATTTTCAGTGGTATTGAGAGACTAGGATAGTTTGTACTGATTTTACTTTCAGGCATTCCAGAATGTGAGCCTACCATGAGTATCTGTATATGTTTTGTTTTTTTGCTTTAATATAGTTAGCTGAAGAACGTATCGGAAACATAAGAACTGTTCGAGCTTTTGGGCAGGAGATGACCGAAATGGAGAAGTATACAAGCAAAGTTGATTACGTGCTGCAATTAGCTAAAAGAGAGGCATTAGCTCGGGCAGGCTTCTTTGGTGCAGTAAGTATATTATGGTAGCGAAGAATCCACAGAATCTGATCAAGTCCTGGAAATCTGTGATTCTTTAATCTCTCTCTCTCTCTCATACTTACACTTACACTTTACCTTAAATTGGATTCCTATACAGGTACTAGAAGAATTAGTTTTCCCAGTTCTTTTCCTCTTCATATCATTTGGTGAAGTAGGGAGCTGAATACCAAATTCTACTGCATTTGCAAAGTCATGAGGCTTAATTCACATTCATAGTTTACACCTCCCTGCACCAGCAGAGACCACTGTCTCACAGGAGTTTCACCTTTGGGTAGGACAGGTGATGCATATGCTCCCACCCTCCTTCTGTGGTACCCTAAGCAAAACCCTGTTCTAAATTGTGGATTGGGGTTCCATAGGTGTCCTGCCAGAATTGTGTGGGTGATGCCCTGAATTAGCTTGTCCCAGGGTTGTCCTAGCCATGGGCCAATTCCTAAGCTAGCACCGGTCATTGTGCCTCCCAGTAGAGATCTAGGTGCTTGTGTCCTAACAAAGTCCCTCTGGATAGACTTTCTGCTGCCATGGGCCCTGTGCCATGAGTTTTATCTGCAAAAGGTGGTGGTCCACAGGATTGAATTGGCCCATTGTATGATTTTTATTTTTAAATTTTTTTACTAGAGGGGAGAGAGGAGAGAGCCTTATTTTGGGGTTCGCCAGGGTTAGGCCATTTTGTATCTAATAATTGTTGAAGGTGGAGCACAATTTCTTCTAAGCCCATCACAGCCGTTCCTGGGTGGGGGAAGAGATCAGTTGGGAATGATGCAAAGCTGTCCTTTCCAGCCTGGAGAGTGAAAGACTGATCTTCAAGTGCCTGCATTCCAAACCCCTGCACAGTAGCATTTTACATGGCGTCTGGATCACCAGACTGATTATTTGCGTTCTAAGAAACAAAGAAAGTTAGGAAACTAAACATGAGCAAAATTTAGTCCTATAGAATCTTAAAATTACACTAAAGTCCACTTACTATGGAGAATATTCTTTTTTTTAAAAAAACCCCAAAAGCTTTAAAAGAGCATTTTAGAAGATGAAATTGAATTTATAAGGGAAGATCCAGTTTTTCTTCACTGTCGTTTTTTTTTTTCTTTCCCAGACTGGGCTTTCTGGGAACATGATTGTCCTTTCTGTTCTGTACAAAGGAGGATTACTGATGGGTAGTGCCCACATGACTGTTGGTGAACTCTCTTCCTTCTTGATGTATGCATTCTGGGTTGGAGTTAGCATTGGAGGTATGGAATGTGAAATACACAATGTAAAACATAAGATAAAGGAATTATTTTTAAGTAAGGGAAAACATTGGTTTTAAAAACAAAACAAAAACCTCAAGTGTTTTGTAATTCTTTGAATGTCTTCAGTTAACCAATAGCTTATCAGTACAGAATAGTCTTTCTGAGAAGATTCACAAGTATTTTTCCAGTGAGTATGAATCAATCAGTATTAATGGCTTTTGACTCATTAAGACCAAATCGTTAGTTTAAAGCTTTCCCAAGAGAATGCAATGGTTAAATTTTTCAAGGTGCATTTCTTCAGTGTCTGGTTTATAATGCTAACTTTTCTTGATGATGTTCTTTGTGTAGCCTATGATGGTGTTTATAATTTAAACAAATATTAAGGTTTTATTTGGAATAAAATGTCTTGGTCTCTGTTCAGAGAAATTATTTTACAAAGGAAGACCTGTAGGAATTAGCTGTAATTCCACACGGATAATTGTCTAAAGCTGCATTGGATCTTTAAGTGCCAGCAGAAGACTATTGTAGGGGATTGCCTTCTAGTGCAAAGGCAGAAAAGGACATCTCTTCTCTTTCCTGCTTTGCTCCTCTTCCCCTGTCAGTGAAGATCAGAAACTGTAATCTGCTGACCCAGAGACTAACTGCTCCTCTTTAGGGAACAATCATCACTACTGCACACAGGCAAAAATGAAGATAAGGTATTTCGAATAGCTAGCTTGTCAACTACTTGGAAGAGTTGTTTTTAAAGTGAGTCTGTTGCTTCTGATACATTATTGTACCTTGCTAGTTTGAAAACCGACATTGGCTCAGTGTTTCTAGAAGGGCAGTGAGGTCAACTTATACACTTTATTTTTCACTGGGCCCCTTTACTAAACCCGTCTCCATTTTTTCCATGATACTCAGAATTTTGCTCATGGATGCTAAAACCAGGTTATTTTTTCTAATGTCTTCCATGTTCTTGTGTGATGCATAACGTTGTTGTTTGTTTTAGGTTTGAGCTCTTTCTATTCTGAGCTTATGAAAGGATTAGGAGCTGGAGGACGTCTGTGGGAACTTATTGAAAGAAAGCCAGAGCTTCCATTTAATGGTGGGTTCCTGTTTCTTTACCATTTTGCATTAGTGTTGTCTCTGACTGGTTACAGGCATTTGACAACAGGTTGGTATTACTTAAAATTAACACCAGCTTTAAAATTCTCATAAAGAAGCTTGATTCAATGGAAATCTTCCTTGGCTACTGTCAAGTTATCTGGAGCGGCTCAGCAAAAGTATCAACCTAACGGCAGACTGTTAAGAAGCAGGGCACACACCTTGATTTGGTTGTGAGTTCTGTATTTACACTTCACCAACCAAGTATCTAGTGTGAGCTGTGCACAACAACAGCCTTACCATGGAGTGTCTCAGCCTCCTTGGGTACTCCGAACTATATTGCCTCCCAGGTAATCTTGCCGTTGTGATAGATGGTCCCTTATACCAAAAATCACAATAATATTCAGGTAACTCCAAGTCCAAAAGGACCAGTCACTTACCTCAGTTCAATTGCACTTTAGATCCTACACCAAAGACTATATTTGTAGCCAATCCTATAATAAATTAAGCATTTATTAACTATGAAAAAGTGAGAGTTATTTAGAAGGTTAAAGCAAGTAAACATACACACACAAATTACTTTCAGCCTTAGGCTCCAAAAGATAATAGAAGCTGCTGTAATATGCATACTCTATAAATTCTCTAGGGTTAACCTAGGCTAAGCACTGGGGATCCCTTGCTCATGCTTCGAAATCTTGCCCTCTCCAAGTCCAAGAAGCACAGAGATGCAGTTTCTTCCTGTCAGGAATTTCTATTCCCTTACCCCAGAGTTCCCATGCACGTCTCCTCTTCATGGGTATAGGGGGAGCAATCAACAAAGTTTTATTTTGTCCTCTGATATTCCACAACATTTGTCTGGTATCTATGGGCCTTCTTTGGTTGGGCAGGAGATAACACCTCCTGTGGTAAACTAGTATTTCACACTTGGAAATGTTTTTCTCCTGATTGTAGGGGTTTACAGTTTCCGAGCATACACTTAAATATTACCTTGTAACATGGGATATGTATATAAGTGAGATGACTGCATGCAGCAACTTACAAGCATTTCATAAAGTCTGAATACAGTTTCATAAACCTGATACCTATTTTAAGAATACTAACATGCCAAGTGAGCCAGACTGGTTCCAGCTTATGGATTTGCCAGTGTTTAGTTGAGGCCTAGGGTCCTTAGCATGAGCTGGCACTCGGTCTGCCAGCATCACATCTACGTTCTTTGCAACAATATTTTATTGATTAAAGAGATTTTTCATAGAAATTATAAACACAGAATCTGAATTCAACAGTTCTTCATTCAGGGTGAACTAATGAGTTTATTACCTGGCCTGGTTCTAATTCTTTAGACACAAAACGTATTACTCAGCATATTACTCTAATGTTGATATCTTTCATATTAGGCCATCTTTACAGTATGAGGATGGAGGAAGAGAAGGGGGTTTTGGTCAGGATTGCACTTCTTAATGTTCAGTATTTGTGCTAAAGAAGATAACACATTTCTGTCTTTAATTGCTGATTAGATAAGGGACTAGAAGGGTGAAGAAAGGACTCAAAATGGTACAAATGCTTCTCTTAATGAGGCAAATCTCTAACTTATTACAGACAAATGTTCACATTGATCAGGTTAAGAATAGCTCATTGATTTATGCTGTTATAAATATTACACAAATTTAATAACCTAGTGATGTGGATATAACAAGTATATAGATGAATATAGTTTTCACATGTTTAGTTTACTATCTACGTTTTCTCCTATAGGTGTTATATTTTTCTCTTTATAAATCTGAGGGATACAGATATTTAAAAAAAAGCTCTCAAAAAAAGGTAGATGTGCAAAATCCATCTACAAATCTGAGTGACATTTGGTCCTTTATGTTGTAATAAAGGTTTGTTGCCAGCAGCACCTGAAATGTATTGCTGCTTTCTTTAGTCATTATCACCAGTTTGAAGCCAGCAAGGGTCATTCAGTGGTTAAGCCCACTGAAGAATTTTTGGATAAACACCACTGATCAATGTGTACTTAATTCTAATCTGCGTTTAATTAGTTCAGTGAGGTTATCATGAAGACAGAAACTGTTATTTGGACTTGATCAGTTAGATCCCACTGAACAAAAATCATGTATCACTTTTGGCACCAGGTATGTAGATAACAAATATCATAAAGCAGTATTTTTATCTTGGAGTTCAAGTGACACGTAAGAAAAACACTCTAGTTTTGGTCTTGAGATTTACATTGTCATCAGAAATTCTTTACAAATGCAGCTATCAGAGTGGAAGGGGAGAATATGGCAGCAGACCAAGTAGAAGTGTTTTGAGAGGGCTCTGGCTATAAAGAATAGGTTTTGCATCTTATTGTATGTTTTTAATTTTGTATCAATTGTTCCGTTTCTGCTTCTTTGGCTAGAAGAGCTAAGAGTTCTAATCCTGGCTCTGATGCTAATTCACTATGTCGTCTTTAACCTCTTTACATCTGTTTCCAGATCTGTAAAATGGGGATGACTCTTATGTATTTGAAAGGAGTGTTATGAAAATTGGTCTGAATGATGCTTTTGAAGATGTAAATGCTCTTTTATATAAGTGGAAATGAGTATTAAATCTGATGAGCTGGGGTTAAGATTTGGAGCAGAAAATGTTTGTCTCACAGGTAACCAACAATTAGCTAATGTAACCTCCTCCAGCAGTCTCAGACTTCAGCACATTACAAACTGGAGGCAACTTTTCCAAATTAAGATAGAGGTTTTTAATTTCCTTTCAGCATGAAACAAATTCGTAGAGAAGACTATAGGTCTCTGCCTCAAGGATTAAATATGGAGGTGATTTCAGAACTAAGCATACAGTAAAGGCAAAACAGCTTTGTTGCCCACACTCAAACAAAACATCTGCTCACTCTTCTGCATGGTTCTGACCTTCACTTACTCCATTTTTTCCCCCTGACAATATCTCAGTATCCTAGTTAGACTGTTTTTCTACGTGTCTTCAGAATCCAAAGAGGAAAAATAAAATTCTGTGTATAGCTTTGATTTTTTTTTTTTTTTTTTTACATTAATATATGGGGAAATATAAAGGAAGGACTTGCTACATCAGACTTCCTGTACCATTGAAGCATTACAGTGCAGTTCATGGCAGGCATTCCAGATTAACTGGAATCAAAGAGAGTTTACTGATAGGGTAACAATTGTACCAAATAACTTAGCGTTGTTAAATTGCTATTGAGCAAATGCATCTTTAAATGAACACTTAATGAATTTACATATTTATCACGCAACTTAACATTTAGTACCTCCATGGTTTAATGTCGGAGAAGCAGTTTGAATCCACATGCAGCAGCTATTGACAGAGCAACTACAGTTGACGTAAATGAAGATAAGAGACTGGGAAAGAGGAGGAAAGCTGAGGGGAATGGAAAGTGAAACAAAGAAGCATTACAAATATAGTTAAACTTGCTACAGATGATCACTTATTACTATACTCACCCATGCCTATTGTCTATCTACCTGCTTACCAGTTTATTAAAGTGAATAAATTAATACCCTGATTGCACTAAATTATCCATTGCATAATATGATTATCTGTTATACCTAGGGCTTTACTAAATTCATGGTCCACTTTGGTCAATTTCACGGTCATAGGTAGGGCCCTACCAAATTCATGTCCATGAAAAATGTGTCACGGATCATGAAATCTGGTCTCCCTTCATGAAATCTGGTCTTTTATGTGCTTTTAGCCTACACTATACAGATTTCATGGGGAAGACCAGCATTTCTCAAATTGGGGGTCCTGACCCAAATGTGAGTTGCAGGGGACTTGCAAGGTTATTTAAGGGGGGTCATGGTATTGCCAGTCTTACTTCAGTGCTGCCTTCAGGGCTTGGCAGCCGGAGAGGGGCAGCTGCTGACAGAGGGCCCAGCTCTGAAGGCAGCAGCGCAGCAGTAGGAATGGCTGTACCATACCAGGCCATCCTTACTTCTGCGCTGCTACTGGCGGTGTCTCTGCTGTCAGAGCTGGGTTCCCAGTCAGTAGCCACTGCTCTCCGGCCATCCAGCTTTGAAGGCAGCGTCACAACCAGCAGCAGCGCAGGAGGATAGCAGTACCACAACCCCCCATACAATAAACTTGTGATCTCCCCCCCAAAATCCTTTTTAGGTCAGGACCCCTACAATTACAACACCATGAAATTTCAGATTTAAATATCTAAAATAATGAAATTTACAATTTTAAAAATCCTATGACTGTGAAATTGATCAAAATGGACTGTGAATTTGGTAGGGCCCTAGTTATAGGATTGCACAGTCATAGGATTTTAAAAATTTTAAATTTCATGATTTCAGATATTCAAATCTGAAATTTCATGGTGTTGCAATTGTAGGGGTCCTGACCCAAAAAGGAATTGTCGGGGGGTCACAAGGCTATTGTAGAGGGGGTTCTGGTACTGCTACCTTTATTTCTGCGTTGCTGCTGGTTGCGATGCTGTCTTCAAAGCTGGATGGCCGGAAAGTGGCGGCCACTGGCTGGGAACCCAGCTCTGACAGCAGAGACACCGCCAGTAGCAGCGCAGAAGTAAGGATGGCCTGGTATACTACTGCCAGTAAGGGTTGTGGTATTTCCACCCTTACTTCTGCACTGCTGCCTTCAGAGCTGGGCCCTTGCTCAGCAGCTGCCGCTCTCCGACTGCCCAGCTCTGAAGGCAGCAGCACAGAAGTAAGGGTGGAAATACCACAACCCCCCTTAAATAACCTTGCAACCCCCCTGCAACTCACTTTTGGGTCAGGACTCCCAACTTGAGAAACGCTGTTCTCCCCCAAGAAATCTGTATAGTATAGGCAAAGAGCACATAAAAAAACAAATTTAACAGAGGGAGACCAGATTTCACGGTCCGTGATTCGTTTTTAATGGATGTGAATTTGGTAGGGCCCAAATGTACTAAATTACTTTCACTGCACCTATTGCAGCCTCCCTCTTGATTTCCTATCCTCAAACAGTGAACTCGCATAACATTACGGGTTTTTTTTTTTTTTTTTTTTTTAAGTTTGTGTACTCTATACATACTTTGTAGGATTTACCGGGGCCTGAACTGATTGTGATCCTTTAAGTCCTAGATATTTACAAGCTTTATGCTGTTTCAAAAAAAGAAAAAAGTGGTCAAAGAAAAAATTTCATTCACTCACAATAGCTTGTTCTGGTATTTCACAAACTGAAGACTTTCAGTTTTTACTGAGCTGTTGCTAAAGGACACTGTATTGATTGGTCTGTGTTGAATATTGTTCTGCCTTGGACTTCAGTTAATTCCATCAACCATTCTTTTTTATGTTAAAAATCTGAAAATGGCCATTAGTGACTTGTTTGAATTCAATCTGGAAGCAGATTTGTTCCAGTGACAGCTTGGCTGAGAAGCTAAGCATTGAATAGCCAATGGAGATTAAACTACTCTTGTTGGTAAAGGTGCAGTATTGTACGCTGGGAGGTTTAGTCTCCATGTGTTACATGTTAAAAATGGTGGGGGATCCACTACAGTTTTGTATAACAGATGCAGCACTCAAGTACCTGGTAAATTGGTAATGTGATCTGTGGTTTAGCAAATGTTGGGTGCCTCTGTAGTAGCCAGCAGGTTTTATGGAAGGCTGAACTGCCATTGTGGAGGTTTTGATATATTTTTGTCATTCAGCTTCTTCTGTATTTTAATTCTTCATCATTCAGATGGAATTGTATTAAACAAAGACATGTTCAAAGGTGCTTTGGAATTCAAAGAGATCCACTTTGCATATCCAACACGTCCAGAAATATCACTTTTCCAAGACTTCAGCCTTTCCATTCCAGCTGGCTCTGTTATGGCACTGGTTGGCCCAAGTGGCTCAGGCAAATCAACCATTGTATCTCTTCTGTTGAGGCTGTATGATCCCATCTCAGGTACGTTTATATGTTACTGTGACTGCCATTGGAAATAACTGATATTCTGCATCTAAGAAAACACTTTTCTGAACAACCAGTGGAGGTGTAATGGAAGGGTTCTGAGTTGAGGTCCCAGCCTGAAAGCTATGCAGAAGCAACACTTTCCTCTTTACGGGAGAGCGTGCCTCACATTGCTGGGTGCTTGATGCAGTCAGTTCTGTAGAGTCCTCTCCTGTTCTGTGTAGGCACGGTCACTGCGAGATGGGGCAAAACTGATGTGATATTAAAAAGCAATCTGTGGAGTAACCTGCCAGTCATTGCCTCAGAGAGGGGGAAGAATGGGCCCCAGCAGTTAAAATAAGGAAAACTCTGTGTGTGGCATGGCCCTGCTTCCTCCCCACCAACTGGGGAGAGACTAGCACTGCCAGCGGTACTAGCCTGCGTCAGCCTGTGCACTCAGAAGCCAAGGACAACCCCACTATACTTGGCCCCTGCACCCAAGGAGATTCTATGGACACTTTTCTCCTTCACCCCCTCCACATCTCTACTTTCTTGCACCTGACAGACTGAGGCGTGATCTTGCCTCACATGTTTAAATGAGCACTGTAGAGTGCCTGAAAAAGGGCAGCATAAATAAATGCTCCATGAAGTACACCACCTTTGTAGGACTGAGAGAGAGCACATCTCTTATGAACACCTGAAAACTGAGTATTTTCCTCCACTGCTTTCTGCCTTTTGTCAGTATCTTATATCCTGTATAACTTAATGTTTCTTAAATTAAGGTACTATCACCGTTGATGGCGTTGATATCCGTCAATTGAATCCACTCTGGTTCAGGACTAAAATTGGAACAGTGAGTCAGGTAAGGAGGAGGGAGAAAACTTGTTTACCTTAGCCTCTAAGGCTAGAACAAGAAGCAATGGGCTTAAACTGCAGCAAGGGAGGTTTAGGTTGGACATTAGGAAAAAGTTCCTAACTGTCAGGGTGGTTAAACACTGGAATAAATTGCCTAGGGAGGTTGTGGAATCTCCATCTCTGGAGATATTTAAGACTAGGTTAGATAAAAGTCTATCAGGGATGGTCTAGACAATATTTGGTCCTGCCATGAGGGCAGGGGACTGGACTCGATGACCTTCCAGTCCTAGAATCTATGAATCTAAGGAAGAGGGGAATTTCTACGTGAAGGAAGAAATCTGTAATCAGTTACTACTGTCTCACTTTCTAATTTTGTACTGTTAAGGACTTGTTGACATGGACACTTAGTGTGCAGCAAACTGGGGTGAGACTCTACAGCACACTAACTTGCCATGCACTAACTAGTCATGTGGACCCTGCTACCTCATACTAAAATTTTGTACTGCACTGTAGATTCACACCCTGGCTTGCCGTACACTACGGGCAACTACGCTTAAAATGCTGCAACGGCACAGCTCTAGTGCTTTAATGAAGACACTCTATGCCAGTGGTAGGCAAACTGCAGGCTGCATGTGGCCCATCAGGGTAATCTGATTGTGGGCTAAGAGACATTTTGCTGACGTTGACCGCGCGCAAGCATGGCCCCCCGCAGCTCCCAGTGGCCACGGATTGCCGTTCCCGGACACTGGGAAGTGGCAGCGGTCCACCGCTTCCCGTAGCTCCCATTGGCCGGGAACGGTGAACAGCAGCCACTGGGAGCTGCGGGGGGCCGTGCCTGCGGACGGTCAACGTCAGCAAAATGTCTCACGGCTCACAATCGGATTACCCTGATGGGCCGTATGCGGGCCGCAGGTGCCCACACCGCTCTATGCTGATGGGCGAGAACTCTTCTGTCAGCGTAGTTAATCCACCTCCCTGGGAGGCAGTAGCTATGTTGATGGGAGAAGCTCTCCCACCGACATAGCGGTGTCTACACAGGAGGTTAGGTTGGCATAACTATTTCGTTCAGGGGGGTGGATTTTTTCACACCTTTGAGTGACATAGTTATACCGATAAAGGTCTGTAATGTAGACAAGCCATTTCCCTTGTTTTTTCACAAAAAGGGAGAAACTCCCTCTTGCCCTTATACGCATTAATTAGTCACTGTCGTGTTATACTTTATTCTAAAATGGTAAATTCTCAATTAGTCCCAAACTGCTTGTTCCGTGGTCTGCAAGTGTCTGATTGTGTAGGTTAGTTAAGTAGCTCCTGAAAGATAGCGATCGCTGGTAAAATACCTCTTGTGTAGGGCAGTGTTTTTCAACCTTTTTGATACCAAGGACCGACTTGCTGCCTTCCTAAACTGTGTCAGGGAGATTTCGGGGACCAACGCTGATCCACGGACTGGTCATTGAGAAACACTGGTGTAGAGGACTGGAAAGTACATGGTTCACAACTTAGAACATAAGTTGCTTGATTTTTGTGGGACTTTCTTACGAATAAATAGAGTCAAGAAAGGACCTCCAGAGGCTAACGCTGCAGATATGCATGACTGCTTAGCTCCATGACTCCCATTGATATTAATCAAAGTTACACAATCCTGTGCTTACATGCTGCTTTGAAAACTTACCTTCTATTGTCTAATCCTTTTGCATCCTTGCTTACATAATTATTTCCATTATGAAGGCATGCTAATATGACACTGTTGGCACTTACTTTTCTAAAGGTGCAGAAAGTACACATTCAATTGTCCCTTAAAGAGGAGCCACCCAAACAGTTTGAAAGTAGGTAGTCTTTTTACAGAAAGTCTTCATAACATGACTGGCTGGCTAGCTAACTGGGGTATCACAGTCCAGTTATTTTTCTAATCCAAATGTACTTCACATTCCAAAACATCATCTGTATTGCAAGACAGTACCACCGAATATCCTTCATGTAGGAAGAATCTCTTTTTCCTTGTAGGCGTGTCAACATTTAGTTTTTCTTGATTTTAAAAATCTCACTTTGTCCAGTTTTGAGTTACCAATAATAAAGTTACAATACGAAACTTTTCTGTTTCATACAAAGAGCAGTCTTATCTTGTCCTGAACACCTTCTCATTGTACATCATTTGACTTGCCTTCTATTTCCTGTGTTTACACTTTTTTGCTGTTTCAGTACACAAAGCACACAATGTACATAGCCTTAATAAGAAGAGATGACCTGTAGATGCAGCGAAGAATGATATATACCTGGTATCCTAGAAACTTGTGTTTTCTGAATGAACAGATGACCATTGACTCCTAATATTTCAGAAGGAGTTCAAGGCTATGTAAAGTGTCATTTGAAAAGTTTTCCTCAATTTTTTTAATATGGTCTTACCTTTGACTTCTGACCTCCATGTTAAAATAATTGGGGCATTATTCGTTAACCCAAAAACATTAGAGTGTACAATAAATCTTAAAACTCTGTCATCTATTTGATCCTTTAAAAGGGACTTATTTTACTCAAGATTTACTAAGAAAACATATGTACTATAGAGATACCATATGAGCCATGTTTTTGCATTTATCAGGAACCAGTTCTGTTTTCCTGTTCTATTGCTGAAAATATTGCCTATGGTGCTGAGGACCCTTCTATGGTAACTGTTGAAGAAATCCAGAAAGTTGCTGAAATAGCTAATGCTGCCAGTTTCATCAGAGACTTTCCAGAAGGATTCCACACTTTAGTTGGAGAAAAAGGCATTCTCCTTTCAGGTATACCTCTGACATATTTAAAAAAAAAAAGATATTGACACAGTAGAACAAAAAAAAGGCTTTATCCAGCTTGCTTTATCAATCAGTAGCTTTTGTTGGAGTACTGTTGTCCTAAGCACTTAATCCCTTCTTCCCCCAACATAAAATCCATTTCAGTAACTAGCAGAGATCAGTTCATGTCTAGTTACAGTCAGTTTAGATCTTTAATTACAATCAGAACCTCTTCTATTTTACCTTTCAGTTTAATTTAATAAAACTTTTTTCTTAGGTGGGCAGAAACAACGAATTGCAATTGCTCGAGCACTGCTCAAGGTAAGCTTAAAAAACAGGTAGCTATTCTTTATTTAATTTCAAGGAGGAAAAAGAAGGGATGAGTCTTTCCTTGTGGGGAGTGAATATCTTTTGAAATATTCAAAGTTCTGTATATTGATGAGGGAGTTGGAAGAGGAAGAGAGATGGTTAAGGCAACATATTTATTTCAAGTTTTACCACCCTTTAATTTCTATTATGCCTGATGCATTCTTTTTCCTGTGGTTAGGCTCTGACTAGAGCCACTCTGTAAGGAAGACTGTAGGCCAAGATAGAATGGTTCACTTAATAAGCCTTGCTCAAGATCAGGGATGATTTCCACTTTGAATATGGTGTTAACGTCCTTGCACAACTTGGTTTCCAGCCAGATTCATGGTGTTGCTAATTATAGCTTGCAGGGCACTTCGGATAAAAACCTTGGTTTGTTGAAGTTTCTGTAGAATACAAACCAATGGCTCCCCCATGTCTTTTGGGGGAACCCCTGGATGTCGTTAAGAATAGAAACTCCATGCCTTTTTGAAGGAGAGTGAGGTTTGGGGTGAGTTGACAGTCTTCTGAAGATAATCTTTTTTCAGCCTGTGATTGTTGACCAGAGGAAGGGGGCCTTTATTTTAATGCCTAGAATCTATAAATTACTTTTCATAGATTTCAACACCAGTGGACCCTCATCACCCTTAGTAATGCACACTAATAGATTCCATCTTAACATGGTCTGTTTGGTGTTGACTTTGTTTTTAGCACTTTAGATGATTGCAAATGGTGTTCCTTAGCAACAGAGAGTCCTGTGGCACCTTTAAGACTAACAGATGTATTGGAGCATAAACTTTCGTGGGTGAATGCCCATTTCGTCGGATGGCCATTACATGCATCCGACGAAGTGGGCATTCACCCACGAAAGCTTATGCTCCAATACATCTGTTAGTCTTAAAGGTGCCACAGGACTCTTTGTTGCTTTTTACAGATCCAGACTAACACGGCTACCCCTCTGATACTGTGTTCATTAGGATATGTCTGCACTGCAATTAGACATCCGTGGCTTGACTGTGCCAGCTGACTCGGGCTCCCGAGGCTCGGGGCTGCGCAGCAGTCTAGTTGTGATGTAGATGTTCCTATATGGGGTGAAGCCAGAGTTCTGGGATACTCGCAAGGTTCTAGACCCCGGGCTCCAGCCCACGCCAGAACGTCTACACTGCAATTACACAGTCCCGCAGATTGAGCGCTGCACATAGGCACAGGCCAGCCATGGGTTTTTAATTGCAGCATAGACCTACTCTTAAAGACTTGTGTTGCTTTAGGAAGTTGAGCTGCATCCAACCCTCTCCAAGAGAGAGATGAAGGAAGAATGTGGTGTTGAAATACAAATTGCATTGTTTCTTTTGTGTTTAACTAAATCTCTTCTGCTTGTTCAGTCTGGTTTTGGAATAATTCTTGGAAATACATGCTGTGGCAATTCCACAGTACACTATGGTTTTTTACATTTCCAGTGTGTGTTCTTGGCCTCTAGTGGTATGTCTACACAGCAAAGAAAAACCAACATCTGGCTCAGGCTGTGGGAATGTTTCACTGCTGTGTAGACTTCTGGCCCTCAGGCTAGAGCCTGGGCTCTAGGACCCTGTGAGGTGGCAGGGTGGCAGCCCGAGCCTGGTAGCCTATGCGGCAGTGAAACAGCCCTGCAACCGAAGTGGGCCGGCCACTTTTTTTTCCCCTGTGTAGACATATCCTCAGTGGCCTGGTGCATTCCAGCCACCTAGGAAGTTGCTGCCTCCCAAATGCAAGATAAATGTTGTGTTAATGTGTTACAGGAGGGAGACTGCTTATAAGCAAACGATAGGTGGACTCTAAAATCAGGGGAAACAGTGAAATCGACCCTTAAGTGCTGCCAAATGCACAAAGTAAACAAACTGAAAAGATGAGATTTATAATCTTTGTACTAGTGATCTTAGGTGTTAAAGTAACAGTAGTAGATTGAAAAAAAGATAGATGTGATATTTTTATTTATATTCTATCCTTTTACTGTCTAGACTTATTACCTGCTGAGTCTCACGTTGTATTCAAGTCTTCTGATGAAGCAAATAATCTTGCTTGTAGTTTTAGTCCTGTTTGTGATTTTTTTTTAATACATAAATAGAATTTGTATCCTTCAGGTCTTGTATAACTTTGATTTTAATTATAATTTTACTTTGTTCTTCAGAATCCTAAAATTCTTCTTCTAGATGAAGCAACAAGGTAAGGAATAAAGTAAAGCTAGCAAATGTCCTATAATTAGAGCAGCAGACTTGGAGTCAGGAGATCTAGGTTCTGTTCCTGTCTGTGTGTGACCTTGGGCAAGTCGTTTAACTTTTTTCCCCTATCAATGGAACGGAAAAATACTTAAAGATGCTCTGATGAAAGCCACTAGATTAAGTGCAACAGACAGTACCTTGTTACTTATTAAATAAAATGCAACTCCTATGAAATATTTGTGATTTACATGAATACTAAAACATTACATAATCTCAAAGGTTTTTGTATCTCTACTTTATGAGAATATTAATGTTTGTAAGTCCTGAGTGGATAGGTATAAGTACACCACATCCACTGTAAGTTATTCAGTATTAAATTTCAGGGGTGTGTGTGTGTGTGTGTGTGATATGCATACTCAGGATGAACTGTCTGCACTAGACTTTTTCACTAAACATTTCTCACCATTGCTACCACTGGCTCAGCTTCATTAATGGTAGCAGATGTAAGAGCTGTAGTATGAAATCCTTGCCCCACTGAAGTCAGTGGGAGCTTTACTGACTTCGGTGGAGTCAGAATTTCACCCCTAGTGTAGAGAGGTCTCCAGGCAGCTGCCAGTATTGTAAGCACCAAGTCAACTAATTCTGCTCACAATGAGTCTACATGACTCGGTACTTAAAATGCTGGCAGCTGCCAACGCTTTGTCTTCATTAGCAACTCCACCATTATTACCCTGTTGGAAAGGCAGTGATGGGAGAGCTTAGAGAAAGAAGCCTAGTGTAGACCAGGCTATATTGATTTTAGAGAACAGTGACACTTATTTTTTCTTTTCTTCTGAATTAGTGCTTTGGATGCTGAAAATGAGTATCTAGTGCAAGAAGCTCTAGATCGGCTTATGGAAGGGAGGACAGTCCTAATTATTGCTCATCGTCTGTCTACCATTCAGAATGCTGATTCTGTTGCAGTTCTTGACCAAGGCAGAATTATTGAATGTGGAAAACATGAGGAACTTCTTGCAAATCCAAATGGACTTTTCAGGAAACTAATGAAGAAACAAGCTTTTCTTCAGAATAGTAAAACTTTTGCATTAAATGTGTAAAATCCAGAGAAAAGGAATTTTTAAAAGAAAATGTATGAAAGGAAGTATAAGGAATAGAAACTTACAAACTACAAAGAATATAATTTGTTTCTAGTTATGTAAAGTAAATGTTCTATTTTTTCCAAAGTGTACAAAATATCATTTTGAAACTTAGATGTGTTAAACTTTTTATTCAGAGATTTTTAATAATTATTGTAACTTTTTAAATGTCCACAGCACTGAAATTGTTTTCAAAGTGTATAGATTCTTCTGCTTTGTGGTAACTTAATTGATTCAATATGGCATTTTCTCTATTTTAATGCATTGTATAGCAATGAACTCTGTTCTCAAGCAAGTTCCTAATTTTAGGGAAATTAGAAATCCAGAACCTGGTAATTTCACCACCATCATCTCTTGCGTACCAGGGACCTTTTGTTTTCTGGGCTTATCACTGTACTTTGGCTTTAAAAGACTGAAGTTCAGAATTGTGTGACGGTAGTGGCATGACAAAAACTCTTCAGTCTCCTTTTTCACATGCTGCTTTTTTCTCTTCCCTTTCAAAATAAAACTGGAAGTTGAGGGGTATAATCACCATCTGCAGTAACTGTAGATAATTATTTATAAACCGAAGTTATTTTAAATTATTTGGAAGCTTGGATGGGGAGTAGTACTCTTGAAAGCTTCAGGTTTTACAGCTAGGGCAAAGGGAGCAGAATTGCTGCTAAACATTAGTTTGTAGTAGAAAATTCTAAAGTTTGCATGCATCTCCTCATTGCTGTATTCTTCTGGTCTTTACTTTCATTACACTCTAAAGGTGACCTTTAAAGGAACAAACAGTGGGCTTGTGCACTTTTTTGCCTCCTTGAAAAGGGTATATAAATCATGCTCAAAGCTTTATTTGCAACTTTTTTCTATTCTCGGTTAGAAATTCAAGTCCTGTTTAGCTATGAAGACTCTGGGGCAACCAGAAAATTAGTGAAATTACAATATCACAATAAAAGACTGGAAGTTGAGCAACTGAGATAGGAGGGAATATTTAGTCAGTTGTTTAACACTGCCCTAACTCCCATGACTACCTGAATGCTTTGGTGAAAAGATGCCTTGTTAAATATGCAAAACCCTTGTCCCTTCAACTAAGGAGAAGTACACAAAAATGTGAGAGCACCAGCAAATCCAAGCAGGACCAAATTTGATGTTCCTGATACTTAAGTTAAAAAAAACCAAACCCCCTCCCCCTCTTCTAATACAGACCTTTTTTTATTCATTGTGAAGAAATAAACAAAAATCCAAAGCCAATTTAAAACAAAATTCTTTTGCAACTCACCTTAACAGCAGTCTATGCTGGCATAAGCCTATGCATGGTTAAAACAATTGTAAGCAGCAGGTGAATTTCCTAGTACAGGGTAAGGCCTCAGTAAAATGTATGCTTGAGAATGTTTTAGGAGGAAAAGCTCTACCTTAGTTATGCCAATAATTAGGGTTGCCAGGCATCCAGTTTTTGATAGGAATGCCCAGTCGAAAAGGGACCCTGGTGGCTCCGGTCAGCACTGCTGACTGGGCCTTTAAAAGTCCAGTCAGCGGTGCTGCAGGGCTAAGGCAAGCTAGTCCGTACCTGTCCTGGCACCGTGCTGCGCCCCGGAAGTGGCCAGCAGGTCTGGCTCCTAGGCGGGAGGGAGACCTGGGGCTCCGTGCACTGCCCCCACCCTGAGCACCAGCTCTGCACTCCCATTTGCTGGGAACTGCGGCTAGTGGGAGCTGGGGGAAGATGGTGCCTGCAAGCAACAGCAGCGTGCGGAGCCTCCTGGACCCCCCTGCCTAGGAGCGCGGTGCCAGGACAGGCAGGGAGCCTGCCTTAGCCCCACTGCACCCCTGACTGGGAACCGCCTGAGGTAAGCCCCAGCCCTGAGCTCCCCCAAACCCGGAGCCCCCCCTGCACCCCAAACCCCTCATCCCCGGCCCCATCCCAGAGCCTGCACCCCGAGCTAGAGCCCTCACCTCCCCCTGCACCCCAGCCCAGAGCCCCCTCCCACACCCTGAACTCCTCATCCCAGAGTCCATACCCCATCCTGCACCCCAGCCACCTCCTGCACTCCGAATCCCTCTGCCCCAGCCTGGAGCCCCCTCCTGCACCCCAAACCCCTCATCCCCAGTCCCACCTCAGAGCCTGCACCCCCAGCCAGAGCCCTCATCCCCTCCCACACCCCTGCTCCAGGCCGGAGCCCCCTCACGAACCCCTCATTTTTTGCCCCATCCTGGAACCCACAACCCCAGTTAGAGTCCTCACCCCCTCCCACACCCCAACCCTCTGCACCAGCCCAGTGAAAATGAGTGAGGGTGGGGGAATGTTGAGAACAGGGGGTGGGGCTTCAAGGAAGGGGCGGGCATAGGTTGTTTAGTTTTGTGTGATTAGAAAGCTGGCAACGCTATATGCCATTGTGTGAAACATTAAAAACAATTCTAAAAACCACTGCAGGCTAAAAATGCTGATAGAGAATGCTTTAACTTCATTATTTCTCTCTATGTACCCTTTGAAATGATGGGCTTGTTCCTAAAAACCATTACTCATGTGAATAATCATTCCTCAGGTAAGGTGCAGAATGAACTCATAAACTGTGCACTAGGTGTCTGTGTGGACCCTGCTGCCACACAAAAAGTTCCATTGCGTGCTTTAATCTACTCCCATTTCAAAACAGCCTAGATTAAAGCACACCATGAAACTCTTATCACCTACACTGTTTTGAAATGGGAATAGATTCAAGTGCACTGCAAAACTTTTAGTGTGGCACGGTCCAGATGGACACCTAGTACGGTGCAGGCTAATATGGGTAGATTTACACCCCAGTTTGCCACGAATTAAGTGTTCCTATAAACAAGCCCTGAGAGTCATTGGGATTTGGGCTCCTAAGTCACTTAAAGAACAGGAGTACTTGTGGCACCTTAGAGACTAAAGTACTGTGCCACAAGTACTCCTGTTCTTTTTGCGGATACAGACTAACACGGCTGCTACTCTGAAACTCAGTCACTGAAGCCTTTTTGAAAAATTTAGCCAGTTTGAAACCACCATGCACCTGCTGCAGGGAGCTGTGATTTTCATTGTGGGTAGGTGCCCAATCCACAGATCCTGCAGCGCATGCTGGGAGTACTGGATGTGGATGTGGCACACTGTATGTGGCCAATACAGCATAGCTAGTGATGTTCTGCACAGTTTTGTTTTATACCACCGCAATCCTACTAGTTCAAGCTTCAACAATACAATTCTTCAGCTTTGAGGCTTTGTAGGGAGATTGAATCTTTCTGCTAAGAAAACCAGTGCGTTTTTAAAAACGCTCACAGTATTGCATTCTGGTTCATTAAGGGAACCTTCAGTGGTTGCCGGTATAGGCTAAACCCAGCAAACTGTTAGTGTGCATCTGAGACACTATTGACAGACTTGCTTTGCCAAGGACATTTTTATTTCATCCAGTCTGCTAATTCAATGTGGTCTTGTGAAGGAAAATGGGCCACGCTTAGGTGGAGTATCTGAATAGTGCACTATAGCACCCTATGTAAAATGAACCTGTTTGTTATACTCACTGATGGCATTTTCCAGCATTGCCCTCTTCAGTTGTTTTTAGTAATTTTTTTGTATCCTGAATTTAAATTTATCAATAAAAAATTTATTGCTTCTGTCATCTCATGGTAAGACATACTGCTTCATAATGATGTAACAAGAACTTGGATCATTTCAAATAATGATTAAACAGTTCTCCTTCCAAAGACTTGAAATTTAGAACACTAATTGTGATGTACTGAATGAGAGTACATAGAACTCCCATATAATTTAATGGAAATCTTGTTCAAAACTCTGAAAGTGGAATATGGCTCTGTTTTCTGTGGCATCACACTTAACAAAAATCCCCATTTAGTTACTTCCTCAATTTAATTATTCCGTACTTGACACATTTCTTGGATTGTTGTACACATTAAATAAGATGACCAGCCTGTCCAACTTCAAAAGCCAAATTCTCAGAGAGAATGAGTAACTACTTTCTTCATTTGGAGTTGTAGGCACTCAACAGGTGTTCAGCATCTCAGGATTTGACCCAAAGAAAATAAAAACCTTTTCTGTAATGTATAATTGTATTTAGTGTTGACTGCTGGCTGCCCCAGTGACAGGCTAGCATTGACTGCTCCGTTCACTGTGTTTCTAATTTGGGATAGTATGAATGCTTTCCTGAGGGAGCTAGGACACTGAAAATAAAATCACTGTCTTGCAAAAATTATTTTGATTAGCTATATTTAAATACTGAATAAAGTATTATCACTGTTAATTATTGGCATGTTTGAAATAGAGAAGATTCTTTAATTCAAGTAGCTGACTGCTGCTGTCAAACTATATTTTTATCGTCTGATGCATAGAACCTCCCTCATTCTCTTCAAAGACTGCATATTGGCAGTCTACTTCTTTTGCAATACAAAAGATTATCATTCCTGACAGAGTGCTTAAACAATACTGCCTTCACACCACTTCCACGCTGCTGGGGGTAGGGTAACAGTTGTTCAACTGTCTTGAGAAACTTTAGTGGCTGTGTTAAACCAGTCAACAAAAAGTTGTTGGCACCTTAAAATGAAGGCTACGAATTGTTGGAGAAAGGAGACAGGTCAACAGTTGATTTACTCTACACGTGAAGGATAATCTTTTGTATTTTGTGTGATGCAAGAAGCTGCATTTCTTATTTTTTGAAGAAAAACATTGCTGTTCTGTCAGTTAGGCACATTAGTTTGAGCCTCTGTATTGTCCCCCAAGATGCCTTTGTATTCAAATAAATTAGGTTCATATGAACCAGCTGCCATAATATCAGTTCTTGAAGTTGTATACTAACTGCAGATCACAAGTCTGCCTGCTTGAATCTCCTAAAACAAACTGTCTTCCCAGACAGGTAGGCAACTCCCTAATTTTCTGCAGTAGCCTTTAAACAAAAATCTATTTCGTGTCTATTACTTTTCCAGAATTTCAAGACAAGCTTGATCTTTTTGAAGAGGTGGACCTGAGCATTAACATCTCTGTACATTTCAAATTGGTGATGGGTGAGGGCAGTTCTGGGGCAAGTACTGTCTTCCTGGTCTGTAGAGCACGTAGCACAATAGGGTCCTGGTCCATGACAGACTCCTAGGGCCTATGATAATACAAATAATAAAGAATAATTTAATTTCAAAGTTGCTAGTTCAAATCCAGATCAGGTCAGCATAGTCTTTTATTCAATGCCATATGTGAAATAAGATGATTGTCTAAGTTCATTTCCTAGATGAAAAATGGCTAATAGGTACAATTAGCACTAGTTGGCATTCTTTCTCCTGTGCCAAAGTTTGAATTACTATATCTCCTCTCCCCCGGAGACAGTGCACAAGAACAGTTAAGATGGGTTGACAAGGCAATGGGGGGAAGCTTCATTGCTACAGTAGCTGCTTTGTTAATTAATAAACACAATTTAATTAAGCAAACCTGTTGTAAGTACTATATTCTTTTAAAGTACGACATAAGTTATGTGATAGGGAACTAAATAACATTATAAAGTGTTTTTAAATCTGTTTTGATGGATGTTGGGAGGAGTGGATTGCACTCCAGTTCCTTTTTTGGTTCCCCAGCCCCAACTTCCTTGTATTGTTTGCATTCATTTTTGTGGTTGTTTTGTTTTTATGAAACAGCCATAACATGTGAGTTCCATGCCATTACATAGGGGTGAACTATCATAACAAGGAAGGACTGCAGGATAATAATTAGAATAGAATGGTACAGTGAAGTCCTATTGGACATTCTGATTTATTCCCCTCCTGTAAAGCAAGAACCAGAGGACACCAGCTGAAATGAAAAGGCACCACCTTTAAAACATCTGGAAGGAATTTTATGCAGCAATTATAACATATCTAATACTGCAGGTATGATTGAGGCTAATAGCTTAGTAATACTTTAGAAAATGGACATATGAATATGAATAGTAACTGTTGTTTCTCTAAGGAGGAAAAGTGAAGGGTTGGATCCTCAACTGATATAAATCAGCAGAGCTCTATTTGCATAATTTGACGCCAAGGAGGATTTGTCTGTCTTGAAGCAAGAGTAAGCCTATTAATAGCCTGTGGGCCACACCCACAACTGGTGTAAATTGACATATGTCCCTAACTGGAGATCTGGATCAAGAACTGTTAAACTTAGCCCTTAAAACAAGAAGCTAATCCCCGTGTGAGGGTTAGGAAGAAATTCCTTATACCCTGTATTTT